AAAGTAAAGAAAAAAGTGCATCGAGACTGGTAGAAAGGTTGGAGGTGCAGAGAAGTCTGGTCCAACACCCATGTGTGACATTTTTTTTTTTTTGAGAGGGATATCTCATCTGCAGAGGACTCCCCTGAGGAGCAAAGGGTCCCAGCCCCATACCAGGCTCTCAGCCCAGGGTTCCAGTGCTGGGAAGAGAAATCCCTATAACTTCAAGCTATAAAAACAAGCAAGGATTGTCACTGAGTGACACAGTGGCTGCTGGAGACCCAAGCAATTACTCTTAAAGGACTGGTGCATGAATTTACTTGGCCACCCTCCCTCTGAGTTCCCGTGCTAGAACAATGGCTTTGGGGGATCCAGGAACATCCGGGGTAGAACTGGATTGTTTGGCATCAGGAAAAGACCTATGCCGAGACCACCCCTATTGTAGAGCTGACTGGCAGCCATATCTGAGTTTCCATCAGCCTGGCTCACACTGTTCCTCCATCCTAGAGATTCCTCCTCATCCAATTTTCAGCCCCACCCAAGTTGTTTGCAACAGCTTTTCCATATGAATATCTCAGGTTTCAGATTTTTCTAAAATCTCTCAAACAAGCAGCAGCTCATGTCTCTGTACTACATACCTATCAATAAGAGGCCCAAGACCTTCACAGCTTGGCCTTGCTGGGGCACTTCCAAACACAACACAAGTATCAGCCATCTACAGATTGATGTGTAGCTCCTGCCAGGTGGCCCCAGGTAGTGGCTGACTTTGTACTTTTTAGGAGGCCCCAGAGCCAATACAGCTGGTGGACAGCTTCAGACCACACCAGATTACAACTCTACACATCTACAAGTGACACATTCAAGGGGCAGTCTCAGTGAGCTCAAAAGCCCACTGAAGCAAGTCCTGCTCCAAAGGGGTGTCTCCTGCACAGCAGTCTTCCACTGTAGTTGCAGCCGGTCTTCACATCCAGTTGGCTTGGAGGTTAATCCCTCCCAGTGATGCCAATAGCAATCAAGGCTCAACTACAAGACTGTACACATGGCCCACACAAAGGTGCACATAGAGTGCCCAGCTCAGGTGACTGGGGAGGCTGAGACACTGTGCCCTATAGGACACCTAGTATATAAGACCACTCTGCCAATTCCAGGAGATATGGCAGCTCTACTTAACACAGAAAACAAACACAGGGAAGCAGCCAAAATGCAGAGACAAAGAAACATGTCACAAATGAAAGAATAGAAGAAATCTCCAGAAAAAGAACTAAATGAAATGGAAGCAAGCAAACTACTAGATACAGAGTTCAAAACAATGGTTGCTCAAGGATCTTAATGAGCCCTTCAAGTGACTTGGTGAGATTTTCAAGGATCTTAATTAAAATTTCAAGAACCTTAGTAAGAATATCAAAAACATGAAAAAGGACCAGTCAGAAATTAAGCAAACACTAGCTGAGAAAAAGAACAGTTTACAGAGATTCAACAGTAGAGTGTAGGATTCTAAGAATCAAATCAACAATTTGGAATATGAGGAAACAAAAAACACCCAATCAGAAGAGCAAAAGAAAAAAAGAATACAAAAATATGAAGATAGTGTAAGGAGACTGTGGGGCAAGTTCAAGCATTGTGGGGTGCATTTGTATTATGGAACTATCAGGAGAACAGAGAGCATGATATTGAAAACCTATTTGAATCAATAATGACAGAAAACTTCCCCTACCTTGTGAAAGAAATAAACATAAAAGTCCAGGATGTGCAGAGAGTCCCAAACAATATGAACCCAAAGAGGCCCATACTAAGATAATTCATAAATTAAATGCCAAGGGTTAAAGGCAAAGAGATAATCCTAAAAGCAGCAAAAGAAAAGCAGTTAGTTAATTACAAGGGAGTGGCAATAAATATTCAGAGTGATATATAACAAGGACCTACAAACAAGATTACTCTATCCACAATGCTATCATTTAAAATTGAAGGTCAGATAAAGAGCTTCTCAGACAAGAAAAGGCTAAAGAGTTCATCACCACTAAACCAGTATTACATGAGATGTTGAAGGGTGTTCTTTTTTAAAAGTATATTTTTATTGATTTCAGAGAAGAAGGGAGATAGAAGCATCGGTGATGAGAGACAATCTCTGATTGGCAGCCTCCTGCACACATCCTACTGGTGATTGAGAGCTCCCAACCTGGGCATGTGCCCTTGACTAGAATCGAACCCAGGTCCTTTCAGTCTTCATACCAGTTCTCCATCCACTAAGCCAAACCAGCTAGGGTGAAGAGTATTCTTTAAGGAGGAGGAGGAGAGTGTGGAGGAGAAAAAATAAAAAATATAAACAATTAAATGGCAATAAATACATATCTACCAACAACTCAATCTAAAAATAAAAATAAATAAGAAATATAATGAACAAAATAAACTGATGAATAAAATAGAACCAGAGGCATGGAAACATGAACAGACTGATGAATCTCAGAGGGAAGGTGGTAGGGTGGTGAAGGCCTGTTGTGGGACAAGAACCAGGTGGAGAGGGAAATGTGGGGAAAAAAGAGGGGGCATCAGTAATACTCTGAATAATAGCCTTTTTTTTTTTTAAAGGCATAAGGTAACTGAATGAATAAGAAAGCAAGACTTACGTATATGGTGTCTACTTAAAACCCACCTCAGAACAGAAATTATACACAGTCTACAAATAAAGGGATGTAAAAAGTTATTTTGCATTAATGGATAGGAAAATAAAGCTGGGATAGCAATACTTATACCAGACAAAATTGGCTTTACATTAAAGGCTATAGTAACAGACAAAGTACACAAAATAATGATAAAAAGGAACAGTCCAACAAGAAAATATAACACTGGTAAACATTTGTGCACCCACATAGGAACACCTAAATGTGTAAAGCAAATGTTGATGGGCATAAGGCTAGAGATTGACAGTAATGGAGTCATAGTAGGCGATTTTTACCCCCCACTGACATTAGTAGGTCTTCCAAACAGAAAATCAACATGTTTCTAATGTTCTTGTGAGTTTCACTTTGTTTTGGCAGCACTTGCTGCACTTCCCACAGCCCATTAGCTATCTAGGAAGGAGCAAGGGAGGACTATAAGGTCAAGCTTAGTTATGCTAAGAGGACTCTGCCCTCCAAGCTGGGACTTTTTTTGTGGCCCTGCCACAGGTCAGTCCAAGGCATAACCCTCTAGCCTCTCCCTACCCTGGTTTACAGGTTAAATCCCAGCCCAGGTTGGCCACCTGCGGGAGTCAGCTAATCAATGTCTCTTTCACATTGATGTGTTCTCTCTCTCTCTCTCTCTCTCTCTCTCTCTCTCTCTCTCTCTCTCTCTCTCTCTCTCTCCTTTTCTCCCTCCCTCCCTCTCTTCTCTCCTGTGTACTCTCTCTAAAAAGCAATGGGAAAAATATCCTCAGGTGAGGATTAACAGACAAAAAGAAATGGGCAAAGAATCTGAATATACACTTCTCCAAAGAGGACATACAGATTGCCAATAATCATAAGAAAAGATGCTCACTGTCACTAATCATCAGAGAAATACAAATTAAAACCATGATAGTATATCACCTCACACCTGTCAGAATGACTTTCAATAAATCAACAAACAATAGAGTGCTGCAGTGTTGGTGGGAATGTAGATTGTTGCAACCACTGTGGAAAGCAGAATGGAATACCTCAAAAAATAAGAATGGAAACACCTTATAACCCAGCAATTCCACTTCTGGGAATATACTGATATATTATACAAAGGAACCTAATACACCAATCAGAAAGAATATATGCACCCCTATGCTTACAGCGGAGTTATTTACAATAACTAAGATCCATAAACAGCCCAAATGTTCATCAATAGATGAATGGATAAAAGAGGTGTGGTACATTTCCGCAATGGAATACTTGGATATAAAAAAGAATATTTTACCCTTTATGATAGCATGGATGGACCTGGAAATCTTTATGCTAAGTGAAATAAGCTAGTCAGAGAAAGACATGTAACATATGAATTCACTCATGTGGAATCTAATGAACAAAATAAACAGCCGAAACCGGTTTGACTCAGTGGATAGAGTGTCGATCTGTGGACTGAAAGGTCCCAGGTTCGATTCCGGTCAAGGGCATGTACATTGGTTGCGGGCACATCCCCAGTAGGGAGTGTGCAGGAGGCAGCTGGTCGATGTATCTCTCTCATTGATGTTTCTAGCTCTCTATCTCTCTCCCTTCCTCTCTGTGGAAAATCAACAAAATATATTTTAAAAAATAAAATAAAATAACTAAATAGAAACAGACTCATAGATATGAGAACAGGCTGATAGTTGTCAGAGAAAAGGCATATTGGGGGCCTCATGAAAAAAAATTGAAGGGATTAAAGAAGCAAAACACAGACAATAGTATGGTGATTACCAGAGGGAAAAGCATCTGGTGGGGGAGGTAGAAGGGAGTTTAGGGGGGATAAATGATGATAGAAAGAGACTTGACTTGGTGTAGGGAACACACAATCACGTATACAGATCATGTATTGCAGAATTGTACACCTGAAACTATATAGTTTTATTAACCAACTAGTAGCCCTGCACAGGAATCCTTGTGCCAGTAGCTCACCAGTAGTTCGCTGCCATCCTCCAGTAGCTCTCTGCCCGCTGCCACAACTTCCTGTAGCTCCCCTCATCCCTACCTCCCCCTCAGAGCTTGCTGCCCTGCTTCCTCCTAGAGCTCTCTGCCACCCACTTGTAGCTCCCTGCCCTACCCTCCTGATGATCCGTGATCCTGTGATCCAGCCGTTACTTGGTTGGTTGTTATGCTTCACGGCGTAACAACCATTTGCATATTAACTCTTTTACATCTTTATTATATAAGATGTCACTCTAATAAATTAAATTAAATTAAAAGTATATAATCAGTATTTTTAGTTGAATTTAGCAGGAATGTTGATGAAGATTCTTATTCTGCCATACTGTTGGAAAAGTAATGTCAGCTCTTTTATATTTTTGACATGAAGTTTGTTTGTTTATTTATTTTTGCCTCTAGCTCCCCATATATACTCCACCACCTCTTCAATCTAAATATATTGAAGAGCAGCCTGGTAAATTACAAATGGGCTTTGCCTCCATCCGCACTACAACTGGTCGTTACATTGGCTGGTGCAAGGTAAGTCTATTCTAATAGTTGTTCAGTATCAGAGAATTTCTTATTTGTATTACATACCAGTTGTTCCAGTTACCCACTGATGTGTAACAAACTACCCCCAAACTTAGTGGTTTAAAACAACCACCATTCTATTATATTTCATTATTTTGTAAATCAGGGATTGGACTGGAGTTCAGACAAGTGATTCTTCTGGTGTTCACAGAGGTCACTCATCAGTATTCATCAGGTGAATGGCCTGATCTATAGGTCCAAAACAGCTTCATTCTCATGCCTGGCAACTTGTCACAGATTCTAGAGCAGTGGGCTGAGCTGGGAATGTTGACTAAAGCACCTACACATTGCCGCTCAGGCAAGGTGCCCAAATAAATTACAAGGACAATTCAGGGCTCCTACAGAAACTTTTACAAGAGGCCCTAGGTTGAATTTGCCAAAGTTTTTACTTATCCTCAGATGTCTAAGAAAATCACTTCTATAGCATTCTAGTGTTGTCAAGTCACTAAGGCTAATCCAATTTTCTGAAGGAAAGGAAAAAAATGCCACCCCTCAATTACAAGTAGCAGCAAATAATTTGTGGCCATATATATCACTACTTCATAGATTAAAGTAGTTCAACAAATATTTATGTCACCTACCATGTACAAAACTTTGGTTAGCCTGTTATATGAAATTCTGAGATTATATATATACATATATATATATATATATATATATATATATATATATATATATATATATATATAGTTGATTTTTTAAAATTTTTTTTTACAAAGAGGAAGAGGGAGGAATAGAGAGTTAGAAACATCGATGAGAGAGAAACATCGACCAGCTGCCTCCTGCACACCTCCCACTGGGGATGTCCCCGCAACCAAGGTACATGCCCTTGACTGGAATCGAACCTGGGACCTTTCAACCCTGCTCCCTCCTAGAGCTCTCTGCCACCCACTTGTAACTCCCTGCCCTACCCTCCTGATGATCCGTGATCCTGTGATCCAGCCGTTACTTGGTTGGTTGTTATGCTTCACGGCCGATGCTCTATCCATTGAGCCAGTCCGGTTTCGAACTGATATTGCTTTTTAATTGCTTCTTATTTGACTAAGCAAAATTTTCATTTGTTTTGTATAGCTCAAAAGACCAATTTGACTACACTGAGCTATGAGGCAAAATATAATTCACCTTATTTTGATATTTAGCCAATAATCAGCAGTACTCAGCAGCAGTGGAATAAGCTGATACAGTACCGACTGATGTTGCTTTATCATTAGATAAACATAAGTGTGTTAACACCAATGTCTGAATTTTCAGTGTCATAATTATAATGCTGGAACCATTATTTTCATTATTCTGTAATAGCTACACTAATTTGTTTCAAATCTAGCCAATTGTGAACTTTGTGCTTTTTTTTGTTTCTAATCCATTTTTTTTAAAGAGAAATCTAATGATCTGATTGAAATACCAAATCTGTGAACTCTAGGTATTCTAGATATTTAAAATGTCCAATGAATATAAGGTATTATTTTTTTATTTCCTATCAAATAATTCTAATGGTACTGCTGTACTGCACACTCTTAATAGTTTAATCTCAGAGTGAAATATCTTAACTAATGGATCTGAGTCATGCCAGCAACTAGATGATTCATATTTTAGTCTCCTGAGACCTAATTTTCCATATTGTCCCAAAGTTGTTTTTTCAGTGAGGTAAATTGTTCAGTGTGATACTTAAATTGCTATTTAACTATCATCCAATTTAAGACTGAAAGAACTTTATATTCTGTTAATAGGCTGAAACAATTAGGTTGAAGAAGGTCACTTTTTAATGTATTTCATCTTCAATGTAAATAATGTTTCCTCCCTAAATTTCCTTTAAAATGTAATATGTTCTTTAAAAATTAATTCTGACTCAAATTACATTCTGCATTAAACTGGGAATCATGTAGGGCAAATTCAATTTCTACTCCTACTCCTTGGTGATATTTTGAAATTTAGATAACAGTGATCCCCAGTGGTAAAAGTGAATTTCTAAACCTAGCTAAGGAAAAATTTCTAAAAGAAGTTACTATAATAGTTTGTTTCTTTGATAGCTATATGATTTCCCAGTCACCTGGTGAATAAGGATAATATGAAGGTGAAATTTTCTCGAGGAAGTCCATAAAGAGAAGTAGTTTGGTGGCAATTAGGTCTGTATTGGTTTGTACAGCTTGAAACCATAGTGAACAGAATGAACCTGTGTATCTCTGAACACCGTGAAAATATCTGAAGCAAAGTTATTAAAATCAAGATATCTCAATAGCAATAACTTATTCTATTTCCATCTAATATACTCTTTTCCATTTTATTTGCTTTGAAAACCTTTCTTGTTTTTATCCCATGGTTTGACAGCAGCTATTTTAGAGGAAGAGAACATATATTTAGATTATGTTTTTTGGTTTCTTCAATGGAGTACAGCATGTCTATGTGGAATTACTATGAAAAAAAATCATTTCACGCCTTATTTTTTTTCTGCTGTAATTGAGATAGTACCTATCACTTAATAAATGTGTATAACAATATTTCTTGTATCAAAATAAATTAGTTGGAAATAAGTAAAATAAAAAATTTGGCTTAAAGCTTTAATCCTTCCATGAGTTAATGAATCTTGATTTGTAGATAATTTATGTTGCTGTTGCTATTTAAAAACAAGATGGAGGCTAGCCTGTGTAGGATGATTTCTATCCTGAGATAAATGTCTTAATTGGTTTTTTTCTCATTCTAATGCACACTTTTTAAAAAGGAGGTGAGGTACTTTTCTTTAGGCTTTATGTTGTTGCATCTTTATTAATCAGATTAGAGGTCTGGTGCACAAAATTTGTGCACTGGAGGGAGGGTATCCTCAGCCCAGCCTGAACACTCTCCAATCTGGGACCTCTTAGAGGATGTCCAACTGCCAGCAGTCACACATCTCTCTCACAATCTGAGATTGTTGGCTCCTAACCACTTGCTTGCCTGCCTGCCTGCCTGATTGCCCCTAATCACTTCTGCCTGCCAGCCTGATCACCCCTAACCCAGTGGTCGGCAAACTCATTAGTCAACAGAGCCAAATATCAACAGCACAACAATTGAAATTTCTTTTGAGAGCCAAATTTTTTAAGTTTATTCTTCTACAGCCACTTCTTCAAAATAGACTTGCCCAGGCCATGGCATTTTGTGGAAGAGCCACACTCAAGGAGCCAAAGAGCCGCATGTGGCTCGCAAGCTGCAGTTTGCTGACTACGGCCCTAACCACTCCCCTGCCAGCCTGATCAATGCTTAACTGCTCCCCTGCCTCCAACTGCCCTACCCTGCTGGCCTGATTGCCCCCAACTGTGCTCCCCTGCCAGCCTGATCTTGCCCCCAACTGCCCTCCCTTGCTGGCCTACTGACCCCCAACTGCCCTCCCCTGTCAACCTGGTTGCCCCCAACTGTGCTCCCTTGCCAGCCTGATCTTGCCCCCAACTGCCTTTCCCTACTGGCCTGATCGCCCCTAACTGCCTCTGCCTGCTTGATCACCCCTAATTGCCCCCCGCTGCCATGCTGCTTTTCCCCCAACTGCCCTCTCCTACAGGTCTGATTTCGCCCCCAACTGCCCTCCTTTGCTGGCCAATTTGGTTCTAATTGGTCAGTTTCTATGCCAGTCAGCATCAAAAGCTCCACCTCCTAGACAGTCATTGGATCCTCACAGTTGACCCAGATTTGGTTCTGATTGGTCGGTATCTCTGCCAGTCAGCAACTCTGGGCCTATCAGTGGGGCCTGATCAGAAATGCAGGGCTGATCAGCAGCCCTGGTGGAGGCCTGGAGAGAAATGAAGGCATGGCTGCTGACCAGGCCTGGAAAGAAAGAGAGAGGCAAGTGCTGATCAACAGTTGCCACAGAGGCTATGGTTTAGGCCCTGCTTCTCTCTTCAGGCCCCTCTCGAGGCCTGATTTGCAGCCCCTTCAGCAATCAGTGCTGGGTTGCCACGGCAACCCAGTGCTGACTGCAGGACTGACTTCCAGTTGGTCGAGCCTCCCAGTCATTGTGGACGTGATGGACACAGGGTTTTTATATATTATAATATTTCTTCTAAGCTTAAATATGCCTTTCTTTATGCTTTATTTAAATCGCATTCAATTTTCTAGGCTATTATAAATTCAGATGATAAATATTTGTATTTCTGCAATAAATTTTGTCTGAGCTGTTCTGATTATTTTATAGGCAATACTTATTTAATATGAGGAAAATAGTAAACAAATATTATCCATGTTAAATAGATGGAAAATAAAGAAATCAAGAGAAGCTAAGTTCAACAAATATCCTCATAGTGAATAAATAGGACAGTTTGATTTAGATTTGGATGCAATGCTGTCAACATTTTAATATAATATCTGTCAACTGTTTGATCTAATTGTCAACATTTTCAAAAATGCTGATATCCTTTTTTCCCCTTTTTGCTTAGGGTGTTTATGTATTTGTGAAAAATGGGATAATGGATACAGTTCAATTTGGAAAAGGTAGGTGAATAAATCATTTGTAATTAGGAATGTTTTATTGTCTTATTAACTTGCAACGTTAAAATGTGAAAAAATAAACATAGTATATTATTAAGTTTTAACAACAGTAAAGATACTCTGCATAGCAGTTTATAATAATAATAACAAAACAATACTATCTATAATTTATTTGACCATTATTATATGCTAGGTCATTATTATAAGCATTTTACATAACTTATCTAATTTACTTTTTGTAGTAACTTTGTGACTTGGTATTTTAAATATTATCCTTTTGCAGATGAGGGAACTGGGGTTTAGAAAGATTAAGTAGGTTACCAAGACCACATAATTAGTAAGTGGCAGCATCTGAACTCAAAATGTCAAACTGTCTGTTTTATATTATATATTCATAAAGCATAAATTAGAAACATGATCCATTGTTATCAGTTACTTTTAATAAGTGCTACTTGCTATTAAAATACTTAGTATTTTGCTATTGATTATTAGGAAACACTATAACATTTAGTCACACCCTATAATATTTGGGCTAATGTGTTTGAGTCTTTAGTTTGATAGTGGTGTTTGGCATCAGATATAGGTTCTTAATATTTTTTACCTAAGCCAGTTGTCAAAATAAATGTATAGAAGATACAAAGATCAGGGTAAAATCTTAAAAGTTTCTATGATATTGATATTGATGAGCAGTATATGTATTATCATTATTTTATATATGTTATGGGAATTAATTTCAAATTATATTCTCATTAATCTTGCGGAACATCATTAAATAACTGATTGCCATTAATTAATTAACAATAATAGAAGAGTGTGGACTGCATAGAACCAATACAATTCAAATGCATAAAAAGCTAAGAAATCCGGTCTTCTGCACACTCTACATTTACTTTTTGTCTAGGCTCACTTCTCATCCTGATCATTTTTTTTTTTTAATCCTCACCCAAGGATATTTTTGCCCTTGATTTCCAGAGAGGGAGTGGGGGAATGAGAGAGACAGAGAAAGAGAGAGAGAGAGAGAGAGAGAGAGAGAGAGAGAGAGAGAGAGAGAGAGAGAGAGAAAGAAAGCATTGATGTGAGAGACACATCAATTGGTTGCCTCCCTTGACCAGAAATTGAACCCGTGACCTTTTGATCCACAGGCCAAAGCTCTAACCACTGAGATAATTGGCCAGGGTCTGATCATCTTGATTTTAACCAAGATCAACATCATCTCTGAGGTTACTGGGAGTAGTAGCATGCAGGATTTAATGGCTGCATGTATCCCTAGACTATTATTTAAAGTTCTCTAATAAAGTATCTATTTCATTGCTTACTGGATCCTACCAATGTTTGAGTAGATAAGGTCATAATAATTTCTATTATATGTAAATAGTACTTAATCAAAAATTTACTTTATAATAATCCTTATTAAGGTATTGACTGTAGCATCATATTTCATTGAAGTGTAATAATCTGTATTGTTCAGAAAGCAAATATAAAATCAGCTATGGAAGGAAGATTTAATTTTGTAACAAGTAACTATTATAACTAGCTTTTAATTTGCTGCTTAAATCATTATTTTGTGTAGTTCTTTTGAAGAGTGTTTAAACCTTTTGCTATTATCTCTAAATTTTCTGCATTATACCTATTTAGAATACCCAGTTGTGTTATCATTTATATTAATTTTTCACTGATTTCTTGAGATGCATATGTTTATCTGAAGAATCCACCACGAGATTTTCTTCCAAAAGTTGGAGTGATTACAGTTTCAGGATTAGCAGGCTTGGTTTCAGCAAGAAAAGGTAGGATTAAAAAATATTTTTTCTCTCTTTTTCAATTACAGTATATTAATTTCTGAATTTTATTGTCACAGAAAAACTTCATATCTTTTATTGAATATTATTAGGATAGTCTACCTTAAAACATTTAGATTCTACAGTACAGCATGATTACTTTTATTAAAACCTTTTTGTGTTTTTAAGAATATACCTATTTCCATCTCTCTCTTAAGAATATATCTATTTCCAAAGATGTTCAACATCACTAGTTATTATAAATGCAAATGAAAACTACAATGAGATACTACTACACACCTTTTATAATGTCTAAAATTATAAAAGCTTTCCCTCCCGGTAGCACACCCCTGCCTTCTGCCTTTCCCTTTCTCCTCTCCCTGCCCCCACACTCCTCCAGACCTCCACCCCCTACACAAAAAATATGATAAAATTAAATTAAAAAGACTAACCATACCAAGTATATTTGATAATGTAGAGCCACTGAAACTCTCAGACACTATTGGTGGGAATACAAAATGATGCAGTCATTCTGAAAATAGTTTGTCAAGTTTGTCATAAAGTTAAAGATATGCTCACCACTCTTGGGAATTTACCCTGGAGAAATGAAAAACATGAGCACAAATGTGTATTTTTTAAAATATATTTTATTGATTTTTTACAGAGAGGAAGAAAGAGGGATAGAGAGTTAGAAACATCGATGAGAGACAATCATTGACCAGCTGCCTCTTGCACACCCCCCACTGGGGATGTGCCCGCAACCAAGGTACATGCCCTTGATCGAATCGAACCCGGGACCTTTCACTCTGCAGGCCAACGCTCTATCAACTGAGCCAAACCGGTTTTGGTGAACACAAATGTTAATAGCAACTCTATTCATAATCACCAAAAGTTGGAAATAGTCTAAATGTATTTCAGCAATTAACTAAACTGTGGAACATCATAAAAAGGAATACTACTTGGGCAACAAAGGATGAACCATTGATACTCACAAAAATCTTGATGAATCTGAGTTAAACAAGCCATTTCTGAAAAGTTTAATATTGTATGATTTCCATTGTATGATTTTCTCAAAAATACAAAACTATTGTGACAAAAAACACGTCTGTGGTTCCCAGGGGTTAGGAATAGGGATAAAGTGTCAATACAAAGGGATAGCATGAGATATTTTTAGTAGCAATAGAGCTATTTTATTTTATTTTTTTAATATATTTTATTGATTTTTTTACAGAGAGGAAGAGAGAGGGATAGAGAGTTAGAAACATCAATGTGAGAGAAACATCAATCAGCTGCCTCTTGCACACTCCCTACTGGGGATGTGCCTGCAACCAAGGTACATGTCCTTGACCGGAATCGATCCTGGGACCTTTCAGTCCGCAGGCCGATGCTCTCATCCACTGAGCCAAACCGATTTCAGCAATAGAGCTATTTTATATCGTGATTGTAGTGGTGATTTCACAACTCTATATCTAAGATCATTTTAAAATAATATTTTAAAAAATACAGCTATTTCTATTAATATTATAATGTATTCTTTCCCATCTTCTAGAGAACTATTTTTAAAAGGTCTTAAGAATCTCTAGCTAGCAAAAAGAAAAAGATCTTGAGAGTTTTACAGTAATGTAAAACTAACCACTCAAACTACTTTTCCTTGCTTAGTCATAACAACCAATTTTCTGGAGGCTATATTAAGGATTTGAGACAGAGATATTGACATATGAGAAAAAAAATGTATTCCCTCCTGATCCTGAGATTGCTGGAACTGACATCAGTCAACTCAAAGTGGAGTTTGAAAAGTAGGCAAGTGACTCACCACTTTCCTTTAGCACATCACACTTGATTTATTTTCTTTCTTTCCACCCTCCTTGCACTCCATATCTCTACCAAATTTGTCCTTCCTTCCCACCGTACTACTTGTGTAGTGAGTCCCTAAGACCACCTCCAGGTTTTCCCATTAGCTAGGAAGACTGAGATTTATTGCAAAGATTTATTACACTGAAAGGATGCAAAGTAAAACAGCAAAGGGAAAAGGCACGTGAGGCACAGCTTAGAGGAAACGAGGTATAAGTTTTCAAGAGTCCTCTCACATAGCCGAAACCTGTTTGGCTCAGTGGATAGAGCGTCAACCTGAGGAATGAAAGGTCCCAGGTTCGATTCCGGTCAAGGGTTGTGGGCACAACCCCAGTAGGGGGTGTGCAAGAGGCAGCTGATGGATGTTTCTCTCTCATCTATGTTTCTGATTCTCTATCTCTCTCCATTCCTCTATGTATCAATAAAATATATTTTTTTTAAAGAGTCCTCTCAGAGTGGAGCCATATAAAGTGCTTAAATCCTCCACTAAATGACTTGTGACATCATGTCATTGATATCAAGCTCTTTAGAGACTGAGTGACCAAGGTTATTATCGGGGCTGGTCATGTACGTATTGTCTGTCTAGCATCTATGCAAATTCTAGACTCCCAGGAGGAAAGTAGTTGTTAATCATAAACCACATTACTTATACAAACAATTTAGGCACAGTGTAACATCTTATCAATCAGGGAATGTTTACTGTCATTGTAAGGAACTGCTTACCAAACAAGTACCCAGATGGCAGACAAGAGCCAGCCTGGCAAGCAGGCCTTCCTAACAATGGCAGTCTTGGACATACTCTGTTAACTCCTTTTTTCCATATCTTTAAATAACTTTCTTCATAAGCATGTGGTGAATTTCGTATTTTCCCATTTTCCACCTCTGGTTATAGAAACCGCTCAGCAGGCATTATTACTGCTTCCTCTCCTTAGTCAAGTCCTTTCTAAGCATCAGTAGTCACCTTTCATTCATCCTCTGTCCACAAATAAGTTGTCAATCGTTTTCCCCAAAGTAAATTACATGGAGTTGGAAGTCACAGCTCTGAACCAGTCTGGAATCTGTTATCAGATAACTTTATTTATTTGTTTGTTGTTTGTTTATTTATTTATTTATTTTTACTGAGAGGAAGGGAGGGGGATAGAGAGTTAGAAATATTAATGAGAGAGAAACATCAATCAGCTGCCTCCTGCACCCCCCCCACTGGGGACGTGCCCACAACCAAGGTACATGCCCTTGACCAGAATCGAATCTGGGACCCTTCAGTCTGCAGGCTGATGCTCTATCCATTGAGCTAAACCGGTTTTAACTGTTTTGTTTTCCTTAAACTTGTTTTCACTTTCCCAACTGTAAAGTTGCCTGCAAACACTGCCATATATTTTTCACCTTAGTCTTTCTTGATATATCAGATAGGCTGTTTGATTTTAAATTAAGGGATGTAAAGAGTTGTTCCAGAGAATTAAAGTACTTATCCCCAATTACAAATCCCATCATTTAACTACGGAGATCATATTTAAAGATTCTAAGGTACCCAGACAAGCATTTAAAGATACATATTGTTTTTGCAACAATGGTCTGTTGGAATTAAGCTATGGCTTAGAGTGATGGGTTTCGAACTGTTTTACGGCACCCAGTGTTTGGTGGAAGTTTAGGGGTGGTATGAGGAATAGTGAAGGGAAAAGCTATGCAGATAGTGCTCAACACTGGGCTTCCCTCCTGCAGGCTAATCAGAGTGGTTTCAAGTTTATAGGTTTTATATATGAAATTGCTAGTGACAGTCTGTCTCTAAGATTTGTTTTGAAAAGGATTTTGCTGTACAAAACGGTTTGAAAATGACCCTTAGGTACTTAGATAAGACACTTTTAGAAATGAATTGATTATCTCGTTACTTGTAATTATTAAATGGTTACTTCACTATTCTGAGTTAATGACATGAAGGAGTTATATACTTTTTAAAGTCCTTAGCTGATTAGTTAAGTGGATCTTTCACCTTCTTAAACACTTAATCATAAAAGGATATATAAAGAAAGTCCATTTCAATTTAACATGGCTTAGGATGTGAAAAAATACCTAGTTTAAAAAAGAATGAATCATCAATCACCTTTGTATAGGTAATTATCATGTTAGATTGAGAATACTTTCTTAAATTGGATGTGAAAACTAACGTATATTAATTGAATTGTGATCCTTAAGAACATCTTGATTGGTATTATCACCTAATGTGTAATTTAACGTAGGGTGATGGCTTAATAGGAATAAAGATAATATTAAATTACAAAAGCATCAAGTTTTTGGTAGTATCCATTAGGAGTTTAATAGTTTGTTTAAATTTCTTAGGTTCTAGATTTAAGAAAATTGCTTATCCATTGGGATTGGCCACTTTAGGAGCAACTGTTTGTTACCCAGTTCAGTCCGTAATAATTGCAAAGGTAAGTTGTTTTAAGTGAAAGCTGCATTTCAGTATTTGTTTACATTATTGGTATGATAATATTTTAATGTCATACAGTATCTAGAACATTTAATTTTCAGAGATATTTATTTAGTATCATCTCTTACATTGGCAGAATCACATTAGCATCTCAGCATGGCAATGCCATTCCTAACTACGTGATCATCACAAATAAATAGGATGAATTTGTTTCAACATAATTCATCATTATAAATGCTATGTGATGATTAACTTCAGAGACGCTGAATTAGAATTTATGGGAATAGCCCAACCGGTTGTAGCTCAGTGGTTGAGCATTGACCTGTTAACCAGGAGGTCACAGTTTGATTCCTGGTCAGTGCACATGGTGGGGTTACGGGATCCATCCCCAGTAGGGGTCATATAAATGTCAGCCTATCCATGGTTCTCTCTCATCATTGATGTTCCTATCTCTTTCTCCCTCTCCCTTCCTCTCTGAAGTCAATAAAAATATTTTTAAAAAGAATTTATGGGAATAAATACCATTCATTCTATTGTAGAGTTATGTAAAATTCAAATAACAGAAAATTATACCTTCTGGCAGCTGTCATTTGGACAAATTAACATAATGTAAGAAACAGCCATTTGGTAGGTACCCAGACAAGATAACAGAGGCTTCTGAAAGTGGAAAATAAATACAGACACATATATAAACTAAATTTTGAAACCATCTGGAACTAAGTAACATTTCCCATGAAAATCCATATTATGGTTGTTTTGTCATTTTTTGTGTGTGTTTATCTGCAAATCCAAATATTTTCCTAGTAACTTTAAGAACGTGTCAGTATTTTATTTTGTTTTTAACACAGATTCTGAGTGAGGAGAGCTTTGTAATATTCAGTAGTTTCTTCCTTTCTTTCCTTCTTCTTTTAATTACCAATATTTAAAATTTCCCCCTCACACTGATGCAGTGTATAAGTGCTACCAAAAGGGCTTTCTGTACTTATCATTATGGAATCTCTTAAATTATTGATGTAAATAAAAATGTGTGTTCAGTACTTTAAAATGTCAAGGATATAGAACCCTCTGTAGTTTGTAATATAATTAAATTATAGAAGCATATAGCAAACAAACAGAACATTATTCATTAAATCTTGTTATACTTGATATAATTGATGAATAAGATAATACATTTATTTTTTTAAATCTTTCCTAAAATTGATGAAGGATTAGCTACTTAAATTCATGTGATATTAATACAGAAAACAACCTTTGATCTCATTACATTCAACTTTCTCAGTTAACTGGCCCAGAAAATGTCACAGTATCTAATTTGTCTAAGACTCTCTTCAGCTTCAGTTGTTGTACTTTCATGTTCATTTTATCTTCCCAGTGCATGATACTGCCACTGATTCTTTTTGTTTGTTTACATTAATGATAGCATGTGTTTTTAAAATAAAATTGATACCTACTCATTCGTAAATAATTTAAGCATTAAAAAAAAAGTGTAGGAGAAAACAAAGCCCCTGAAATTCTTCCATTCAGAAAAATATCAGTGTTAAAATTTGATAGAATGTTATTCTAGTCATTTATTCATGCCTGTGTAGAGATAGAAAAATAGGTGGGTGTATAAGAACAGGATCATAGTATGCATTTTATTTTGAATTTAAAAAATAAAGTATTGCCGAAACCGGTTTGGCTCAATGGATAGAGCGTCGGCCTTTGGACTGAAAGGTCCTGGGTTTGATTCTGGTCAAGGGCATGTACCTTGACTGTGGGCACATCCCCAGTAGGGGGTGTGCAGGAGGCAGCTGGTCGATGATTCTCTCTCATCGATGTTTCTAACTCTCTATCCCTTTCTCTTCCTCTCTGTAAAAAAGCAATAAAATATATTTTTTAAAAAAAAGAAGAAATAACCACCAGAGAACAAAAAATAAATAAATAAATAAATAAAGTATTAAATTCAATTTACTTTCACAGATGGAAATAAAAAGAAAAGAATTGCTTATCTTTAAATGAAAATTTATATGTTAAGAGTTACTAATATGAATTCCTAAAAGTTCTTTTGTGGTTAAATAATTGTTACTTAAATTTCTAGAGTTTGGACTCTTACTTTCTTTTAACTGTCACATAACAATGTCATATGAAATATTTGGTGAATTCTAATATAACATATATATATATTAGATATTTTATGTGAATATATATTTGTATACATTAGATAGAAATGTATATATCTATAATATGGGTCCTTTTTAAAATTTATTGTTTTTTTTCTTTATTGATTAAGGTATTACATATGTGTCCTTGTCCCCCATTATACCCCCCCTCTCACGCCCTCACCCCCTTGGTATCTGTGTCTATTGGTTAGGCTTATATGCATGCATATAAGTTCTTTGATTGATCTCTCCCCCTAGCCCCCATTCTCTCCTACCTCCCCTCTGAGGTTTGAAGGTCTGATCAATTCTTCTCTGTCTCTGGATCTGTTTTTGTTCATCAGTTTATGTTGTTTGTTGTATCCCACAAATGAGTGAGATCATCTGATATTTATCTTTCTCTGACTGGCTTACTTCACTTAACATAATGCTCTCCACAGTTCCATCCATGTTGTTGCAAATGTAAGAATTCTTTTTTATTGCAGCATAGTATTCCATTGTGAGATGTACCACAGCTTTTTAATCCACTCATCTGCTGATGGGCACTTAGGCTGTTTTCAAATCTTAGCTGTAGTAAATTGTGCTGCTGTGAACATATGGGTGCATATAGCCCTTCTGACTGGTGTTTCTAATTTCTTGGGATATATTCCTAGAAGTGGGATCACTGGGTCAAATGGGAGTTCCATTTTTATTTTTTTGAGGAAACTCCATACTATCTTCCACAGTGGCTGCACCAGTCTGCATTCCCACCACCAGTGCACAAGGGTTCCTTTTTCTCTGCATCCTCGCCAGCACTTGTCATTTGTTGATTTGTGTGTTTATTTGTTTGTTTGTTTGTTTGTTTTTATTGATTAAGGTGTTACATATGTGTCCTTATTCCCACATTACCCTCCCCATCCCCACCACTCATGCCTTTACCCTCCTGTTGTCTGTGTCCATTGGTTATGCTTATATGTATGCATACAAGTCCTTTTGTTGATTTCTCCCCCTTACCCCTCCCCCTTACCGTCCTTATGATTTGTTGATGATAACCATGCTGACAGGTGTGAGATGATACCGAATTTTCATTTTAATTTGCATCTGTCAGATGATTAGTCACTTTGAGCATATGTCTCTTAACCTTCCTTATGTCCTCTTTTGAAAAATATCTATTTAGGACCATTGAGCATTTTTTGATTGGGTTCTTTATCTTCCTTTTGTGAAGTTGTATGACTTCTTTGTAAATGTAGGAGATTAAACCCTTATTGGAGATAACACTGGCAAATATGTTCTCCCAAGCAGTGGGCTTTCTTGTTATTTTGTTGATGGTTTCTTTTGCTGTACAGAAGCTTTTTACTTTGATGTAGTCCCATTTGTTTATTTTCTCCTTAGTTTCTGTTGCCCTAGGAGCTGTATTAATGAAGATATTGCTTCGGCATATGTCTGAGATTTTACTGCCTGTGGATACCTCTAACATTTTTACAGTTTCCTTTCTTAAACTTAAGTTCTTTGTATGTTTTGAGTTTATTTCTATGTATGGTGTAAGTTAATGTTCTAGTTTCATTTTTTTTTTCATGTATCTGTCCAATTTTCCCAACACCATTTATTGAAGAGACTCTCTTCCCTCCATTCTATGTCTTTGCCTCCTTTGTCAAATATTAATTGAGCATAGTGGTTTGGGTCAATTTCTGGATTTTGTATTCTATTCCATTAATCTATGTATCTGTTCTTGTGACAGTACCAAACTGTTTTGAGAACAGTGGCTTTGTAATACAGCTTGAAATCTGGTATTGAGATCCCACCTACTTTTTTCTTCTTTCTCAGTATTACTGTAGCTATTCAGGGTCTTTTATTTTATTCCAGATGAATTTTTTGGACAGTTTGTTCTAGGTCTGTGAAATATGCCGTTGACATTTTAATGGGGAGTACATTGAATCTATAGATTGCTTTTGGTAGTATGGACACTTTAATGATGTTTATTCTACCAATCCATGAACATGGTATGTTCTTCCATCTGTTTATGTCTTCCTCTATCTCTTTTTTTCAGTGTCCTGTAGTTTTCCGAGTAAAGGTCTTTTACCTCCTTAGTTTGGTTTATTCCTAGGTATCTTAATTTTTATGGTACAATGGTAAATGATATTTTTTTTTAATCTCTCTTTCTGTAAGTTCACTATTGGTGTATAGAAATGCCATAGATTTCTTGGCATTGATTTTGTATCCTGCTACATTGTCGAATTCATTTATAAAGTCTAATAATTTTTTGATGGAGTCTTTAGGGTTTTCTGTGTACAGTATCATGTCATCTGCGAATAAGGACAGTTTTACATTTTCTTTTCCAATTTGTATGCCTTTAATTTCTTCTTGTCAATTGCAATGACTAGTACTTCCAGTACTATGTCAAACAGAAATGGTGAAAATGGGCATCCCTGACTTATTCCTGTTATTAGGGGAAATGGTTTTAAATTTTGCCCATAGAGTATGATGTTGATTGTGAGTTTGTCATAAATGGCTTTTATTATGTTGAGGTATGATCCCTCAATTCCCATTTTGCTGAGAGTTTTTATCAAGAAAGGGTGTTGGATTTTTTTCAAATGTTTTTCTGCATCAATTGATATGACTATGTGATTATTATTTCTCAATTTGTTTATGTGATGAGATTTTAGTAAATGGTAATGGTAACATTTCCAATCCATGACAGGAAAGATAAACAGTTTTGGGCTTGCCCATTGTTGCTCAGTGGTTAAGCATCAAAACCAGAAGGTCAGGGTTTTATTCCTGATCAGGGCACATGCCTAAATTGTGGCTCAATCCCAACCCCAGTGTACAGGAAGCAGTCAATCAATGATTCTCTGTCATCATTGATCTTTCTATTTCTCTCCCTCTCTGT